ACACACTAATAGATAGATAGATAGGTGTGTGTGTCATTGGAAGTGGACAAGCTGTAAATTGGGTCCAGTGCTTTCCAGGAAGAACTATTAATTGATTAAAAATTCTACACATTTTTCACTATTGTGTCTCTGTTTTCTGTAAGTCTGTTGTGTCTCTGTTTTCTGTCAATCTGTTGCATCATTGTTTGAATAAATTTATTCAGTCTAATATTGTGGAGCCCTCTATAATGATAATCGATTTCTAATAAACCTCCACCTAATCACCATGTAAACAAACTCTTTGTTCGCTTTACTTTTTCAGACAGTATCTTCGTGTAGTTCTTGACCAGAATAAGCTGCATTGAATATGTTCTGTAATTTAAATTTTAAAAACACTGATGCATAACTCAAATAATATAACAAGAATAAATAATATAATAAGAGTATTAATGTAATCAAATAATATAATAATAAGTTATCTTCTATTGTTTAGCTAATTTTGAAATATGCCTACAGTAAAATATGCTAATAAAGAAAGAGAAAACTAAGTTTTAAATCTGTGCTTGGTAAAACTAAAATTGTTCTTGCCATAGAAGTTTTTTGGATTTTTTTTATTTAACTGAACAAATACAAAGACATTAACTTTTTTTATATAGATACAATGATTTTAATAGATTTTTCAAATATAATGTTTTTGTGACTGAATTAATAAATATTAATACAGATACTTAATTTTGACACTAATCTTGACAAATGATTATAAACAAAATTTGATAACTTTCTTTAAACATCTGACATGAAAAATATTACCTACTTATGTCTGAGGTCTAAGAGGTCCTGTATATAATACATGAATAGTTTTTTCATGTTAACATGATCAAATTGGTGTACACACTATAGCAGTTAGTTGGATTAATTTGTAACTAATTTGGATTGTATATTTTTGTAGTTCGGTGCAAAACTACTTCTGGTTTGGTACACACCAGACTGCCGCCCGTCGGGTCAGCTGTAGTGCTGGCAGAGACTCCTGCTCCACACATCTGGAGAGAAAACACATCTGGAATGCTGGTCTGTCTCACAACAGAGTTGAAGAAGGGCTCCACTGATGGGTCAGGCTGAGAGAAGAAAAATACAAAATTCATCCTATGGAAACTGAAACAAATTGTTAAATACTTATTTTCAAATAATATACAGGTGCATCTCAATAAATTAGAATGTCGTGGAAAAGTTCATTTATTTCAGTAATTCAACTCAAATTGTGAAACTCGTGATTTTGGCTCACATTTAACAAAAACCCACCAATTCACTATCTCAACAAATTAGAATACTTCATAAGACCAACAAAAAAAACATTTTTAGTGAATTGTTGGCCTTCTGGAAAGTATGTTTATATGGCAGTGTGGGCAGCGACATTCTAATTTATTGAGATGCACCTGTAATACTAATGCCTAAACAGTACAAATCAATATTTTTATTGAGTATTTAGAATTCATTGACCAAAAAAATAAAATAAAAAGACAAGGAACAGATGGTAAGGAAAAACATGCTCCCATTCATGTTAAAAAAAAAATAAACAAAGAAATAAATAAGTTTGATACTATGGTACAGTAGTACATTAGAAATAAACCATGGCACCGAATAATTACCATAATCATTTACAATAGTACATGGTCCTTCAAAGAATATCAACGTACCTTTACATGTCCAAAAAATTGTTACTATCCTCGTACTTTTTGGTGCTTTTTTGTCATGCCATTTAACAAAACAATATTTACAATTATTATCCATTACTTTCTGAAACATGGCTCTTAATAATGGCAAATATACATTGACGTTTGAAGATAATAGCAAATATACCACCGATGTTTGAGGATCTGAGCCACACCTTTGTGACAACATAATTTAACATGTGACAACCATAGCTGAGCTAAATCAAACAGTAGCACCCACCAACACATCTTTTCTCAATAAAACACCAATGTAACACATCTTCATGTGACTTACCCGAGCCAGTAAAGGATATGCAAGTCCAAGAATTCCCTGCCAGTTGATTCCAGGCAGAAAGAAGCCTTCTGAGGAAATGATTGCGGCTATGTTGATAGTGATGGTACCACTGGGCCCTTGAGGAATGGTGATCCAGTCACTTCCCAGTTCTCCTTCCCATTCTCCCTGTGCGTATTTTACTGCAACTCCCCTCCCGGAGCTCTTATATGTACTGGAACTGAGCAAATCATCATGACATTGATTCATCACTGATGCACTGCTGAACTTACAAACATCACTCACTGACACACATTAAAAGACTGGAATATAATGAATGTAGAAGTTTTGTCTGGATGCTCTGTTATAAAAGAATGTGATTTAGTGGTAAGGTGTGTTTGGTGTTACAGTGCTCTGTTGTAGTAGAATGTGATGAAGGGATGTGATCTTACAATGCTCTGTTATACTTGTGGGATTTAAGGATTTTATCTTACAATGCTCTGTTACAGTATTGTATGATGTAAACTATACTGTAGTATGTGATGTAGGGATATGATCTTACAGTGTTCAGTTAGTGTGTGATGTAGGGATGTGATCTTTCAGTGCTCTGTTACAGTAGTGTGTGATGTAGGGATGTGATCGTACAGTGCTCTGTTAAAGTAGTGAGTGATGTAGGGATGCGATCTTACAGTGCTCTGATGAAGTAGTGTATGATGCAGGGATGTGATCTTACAGTGCTCTGTTATAGTAGTGTGTGATGTAGGGATGTGATCTAACAGTGCTCTGTTATAGTAGTGTGTGATGTAGGGATGTGATCTTACAGTGCTCTGATGAAGTAGTGTGTGATGCAGGGATGTGATCTTGCAGTGCTCGGTCATAGTAGTGTGTGTGATGTAGGGATGCGATCTTACAGTGCTCTGATAAAGTAGTGTGTGATGTAGGGATGTGATCTTACAGTGCTCTGTTATAGTAGTGTATGATGAAGGGATGTGCTGCTGCAGCTACAGCAAAATTGCTGCTTCCAGTATCAACCAGGATGTTCAACTGCAAAGACAGAAAACAATGATGTAATTATCTTATGTATTAACATACATCACTAATTTGTGGGTAATTTTTTATGCATTATTTTGAAATAGTTTTAGAGGAATACCCTGCATTAAATGCAGCTTAAGATCTTCTGTGACATGATGTTAATTACAACAGAAAAAAAACCAACATTCCTCGGCTACAAAAACAAACAAAACAAAAACACACACACACACGTTTACATTAATGTACTTTTAATGGAAGTCTAGGGGGCAAAAGCAGAAATGTCCAGCTCCTTAAAACCTGTTGAGCAGTAAAACTGTCTAAATTATTTGGACTGCTTTATTAAGCGGATACATTGTTGGTTATGCATTAGCAATGTAATTCCTGTGGGTGGAGTTATAGCCATGCAAGGATTGTTACATCACACCTAGGGATATGCCGGTATCAAATTTTCATGTTGCGATTAATTACTAATGCTTTTATCACGGTATGCGGTATTATCACGGTATTGACATTTAGTTTTAAAAAGTGCTGTCATAATACAGTATAACAGGTTTAATAACATTTTTCTTATAACAAAAATAACTGAACATTTAAATGCAATAAAGCAATACAGAAAAATGTATAAAGTTAAAAGTTTTACACAGATTAAAGTGCAAAAGAACTATAAAGACCAATAGGTATCACTTTACAATCAGACCTCATTAGTTAACCTTAGTTAATGCATTAACTTTCACAATGAGCAATAGCTACATTTGCTACAGAAGTTATTAATCTTTGTTTAAAAAATACAAGTCTTAGTTCATGTTAGCTCATTAAATAACACAGTTGCAACTTTCGATTTGAACAACCTGTTATTAAATATTGGAATACCTAAGATTAATGAATGTTCAGAAGAATTTTTCATTGGCAGTTTATGTTAACTAATGAATTAACTAATGTTAACTAATGAAGCCCTAATGTAAAGTGTGACCGAACAAT